GCTGTAGCAGCAGCAGCAGGAGTAGCAGCAGCAGGAGTATCTGTTGTAGCAGCAGCAGGAGTAGTAGCAGCAGGAGTAGCTGCAGTAGCAGCAGCTGCAGCACGTGGACCCATTTTCTGTGTTGACATAACTTGTGGAGAAGCTGGTCTCATAGTACTAAATGGTGGTCTTGGAGTGGCTGGGCGGACAGCACCCGGCATATTTTGGAATGGATAAGGTCTGGCACCCTGAGCAGGCCAGCGAGGTCTTGGTTTTAGTTGAGCAATTTGGCTAGGAGGATAGTATGCAGCACGGTTCTGAGCCTGTGGGATAGGTGCCATGAAGTAACCTGAAGGAGATGCCGGCTGATAGGGGTTGATTACAGGGTTGGCCACAGCTCCTCCACTTGCCATTCTCTGCATATACTGGTTAGTGAGGTGAGCCTGGCGCACTTCTTTGCTCATTGCGAAAGATACATACAATGGCTTGGTGGCCACAATTCTACCATTCATTTCTATAACTGCTTTAGCGGCATCTCTTGGGGAGGAGAAACATACAAAACCAAACCCTCTGCTGCGACCACCTGCATTCATAACCTTTGCACTGGTGATTGTACCAAATGGAGAAAACTCTTTCAGGAGACATTCATCATCAATACCATCATCAAGATTTTTCACGTAAAGGTTAACACCCGGGAATCTGGTGCTCTTATTTTGGTTCATCTGTTCAAATTTGCGCTTAAGTTCTGCATGCCGTTCCACTTTTTTCTGAGCTCGACTAACATATATTCGACTTCCATAGAAAAATTTTCCATTCATCTCATTCACAGCTTTCTGTGCATCTTCATGCCTTTCAAAGCTTACAAATCCAAATCTTTTGGATTTTCCACTTTCATCAGTCATTACTTTCACACTTACGGCAGGTCCAAACTTGCCAAAGTGAAACTTAAGGAAATCTTCATCCACGTTTTCTCTAAAATTCTTGATGTAAACATTGGTGAACTCTTTTGCCTTAGCTCTGAGTTCTGCCTCTCTTTTTTGACGAGACTTAAATTGTCCAACAAAGACCTTTCGCTGATTTAGACGCATCCCATTCATTTTTTCAATAGCTTTTTCAGCTGCTTCCTGTGTCTCAAAGTGTACAAATCCATAGCCCTTAGAACCTTTTTCATCAGAAACCACCTTACATGAAAGGATGTTCCCAAAAGCAGAAAATGTATCATACAGTGCTTTATTATCAATGGATTTGTCCAATCTTTTAATGAATATGTTGCCTACTCCACTTCTGCGAAGTGATGGATCACGCTGAGACCACATGATGCGAACTGGCTTGCCCTTAATGACCTCAAAATTCATAGTGTCCAAAGCACGCTCGGCGTCCGCCGGCTGCTGGAAATTGACATACCCGTAGCCCAGGGAGCGGCGGGTGATCATGTCCTTGCAGATCCGGATGGAGAGGATGGTCCCGGCCGGGCTGAACTTCTCGTACAGCATCGCCTCCGTCACATCGGGGTGTAGGTCCCCCACGTAGAGCGAGGCCATGGAGTCGCAGGAGGCGCTGGGGTTCATCTCGGCACGGCTGTCCGCAGGGCCACAGGCCGCGACCTTTCCGGGAGAGGAGGAGAGCGAGTGCTGCGACATCAGGCCGGAGCTGGAGGGGGAAGGGAGCGAGAGAAAGCGCAGAAGGATAAAAATCACCCGGAATCGAAAACTACTCAGCGGCAGCAGAACGGGTCGGTCCGCCGGCTCTGGCTGCCGGCTGGGAGCAAGGGCGGCGTTGTCGGTCCGGGCCGCGGGCGGGTTTCGGGCTCTTGGTTCCCTCTCGGAGCTGCTGCGGGGCCGCGGGCGGCCGCCTTGGGCTCGGCTGCTTCACCGGGTTATTTTATAAAAGAAGAAGGAAAAAAAATGAAAGTCTCCGGCGGGGGAGACGCGGATTTTTGGTAAATTTGGGGGAGATTTTTAAAAAGACTTTTAAAGATTATTTTTGGATTAAAAAAATAGGAATAAATGTGTGTTCCGAGCCGGGGGCACACAACCGCTCCCTCAGCACTAACCGCAGGGGAGAAGGGGCCTGTTTTGTTTTCTTGAGACAGAGTCTTACTCTGTTGCCCTGGCTAGAGTGTCATGGTGTCAGCCTAGCTCACAGCAACCTCAAACTCCTGGGTTCAAGCGACACTCCAGCCTCAGCCTTCCTGTAGCTGGGACTACACTCATGTACCACAGTGCCCCGCTTTTTTTTTTTTTTTTTTCCTATTTTTAGTAGAGATGGGGTCTCGCTCTTGCTCAGGCTGATCTTGGGCTCCAGAGCTGAAGTGATCCTCCCACCTCAGTCTCCCAGAGTGCTAGGATTACAGGTATGCCCAGTCAGAGAGACTTACATTGTGATTTCAGTCAGAAAATACAGTTTCATGTACATGGTATCACAAAATCTGGGAACACTAATTTATCTGTGGCATTGAGTAGGTTGTACTTATAATTGTTTCTCTTTTCTTGAAAACCAAAGCAATACAAATCAAAACAATTCTTGCCCATAGCAGGCTTTTGCAAGGGTGAATCTTTCTCAATAATAATGTAAAGTTTCAAATCATGGAAATGTATTATTTGAAATGGTTTACACCTCTCTTTTCCTCCCATTCCCCTCCATCCCATTCTATCTTTTACAAAATAAAAAAAGCATAGAAGCATATTTCAAGCATATTTCAGTATGTGTCAATTTTAGGGATAAACCCAGGGCCCATTAATCACTCCAATATGTAGTTCCAACTTGAAATTGGAACCAAATTTCTCCATCTCCTTTTCTTTTATTAGTCTTAAGTTTTAAAGAGCAGTTTCAGGTTCACAGTAGAAATTGAGTGGAAAGTACAGAGAGTTGCCATATAATTCTTGCCTCTCCCACTAGCAACATCCTCCACCAGAGTAGAACATTTGTTACAATTGATAAATCTATATTGACACATCATTATCACCCAAAGTCCGAAGTTTACATTAAGTTCACTCTTGGTGCTGTATATTCTATGGGTTTTGACAAATGTATAATAATATGCATCCGCCATTATAGTATTGTACAGAATAGTTTCACTGCCCTATATGCCCTCTGTGCTCTGCCTACTCATTTCCTTTCCTCAGCCCCTCATAACCACTTTTTTTTTTTACCATCTCTATAATTTTGCCTTTTCCAGAATGTCATATAGTTTGAACAAATTCCCCTTTAAAGTAGTTCAGGCCATTGATGCTAAATACAATTGTTTTAGGAATACATATAAAATGAAAAATCCATTATGTTTCTCTGCTTCCTAACTTATACATCAGATAGCTTAACCACTTTGGGGGGAGTTAAGTATTGAACTCTCTTTTTTGCTTCCGAAATTGAGACATAATTGGTCAGAAATTAATAAGTCAAGAATGTAAGATTTTTTAATAAGAGGAAAATCAATTAATGTTGTTAATTAAGAGACTGAAGGAGAAATATTATATAACCATGCCAATAGACATATAAACGGCATTTGATAAAATTCAATATTTATTCATGATAAGAAACTTGGTAAACAAGAAATAGAAGAAAACTTCCTTAATATTTTATAAAGAATATTTACCAAGAGGCTTGGCGCCTGTAGCTCAGTGGCTAGGGTGCTGGTCACATACATCAGAGCTGGCAAGTTCGAACCTAGCCCAGGGCTTGCAAACAACAATGACAACTACAATAATAATAACAACAACAAAAATAGCCGGGCATTGTGGCAGGTGTCTGGTCCCAGCTACTTGGGAGGCTGAGGCAAGGGAATCACTTAGGGCCAAGGGGTTGAGGTTGCTGTGAGACTCTGTCTCAAAAAAAAAAAAAAAAAAAAAAAAAAAAAGGAGGGCTGCACCTGTGGCTCAAGGAGTAGGGCACCGGCCCCATAGACTGGAGGTGGTAGGTTCAAACCTGGCCCTGGTCAAAAACTGCAAAAATAAAAAAGAATATTTGCAAAGAAGTTATAGTAAATCTTATACTTGATGACAAATGTATTCCTTTAAAAATCATATCTAAGAAAAGACTTTCTTACTGTCTGTAGTTCTATTGATCATTATATTAGAGATACTGGCCAGCAAATATAGGAATTGGAAAGGAAGACAGAAGATAGTCATGCATTATTCACAGAAAACATGATTGTCTATGTGGAAAACGCCAGATCATTTGCAGGCAAGTTTTGCAATTGCTGAATACAAAATAAACATCCCAAATTAATCGTGTTTCTTTTCATCAGAAGATAAAAGAGAAGTAAAATTACAATAGCAATATAATTATAAAGTATTGAGGAATGATTTCCACAGAGTTTTATGGAAATTATTATAAAGCTTTATTGAATGTCATTAAAGAAGATTAATAAAATGAAGAGTCATACAATATTCAAAGATATGAACATTTATATTAATTATCTCTTTTTTTTTTGTGACAGAGTCTCACTTGGTTGCCTCAGGTAGAGTGCCGTGGCGTCACACAGCTCACAGCAACTTCCAACTCCTGAGCTTAGGCGATTCTCTTGCCTCAGCCTCCTGAGTAGCTGGGTCTACAGGCACCCACCACAGTGCCTAGCTATTTTTTTTTGTTGTTGCAGTTTGGCTGGGGCTGGGTTTGAACCCACCACCCTTGGTATATTGGGCTGGCACCCTACCCACTGAGCCATAGGCGCTGCCCTATATTAATTATCTCTTCCTGAATTATAAATTACCCTAGATATAGTCTTTAAAATAACAGATCTATTTTCTCATAGTTTCTATGAGTCAAGTATTCAAGAGAAGCTTAGCTGTGTGGTTTGGTAAAGGTCTTTTGTGAGGTTACAGTCAAGATACCAGCTGAGGATATAGTGATTGGAAAGCTTCACTAGAGCTAGCAGATTCACTTCCAAGCTCATTTTTATGGCCGCTTGCAAGAAGCTTCATTTCCTCATTACTGTTGGCTGGAGGCATCAGTTTCCTCACTACACAGGTCTTTTTATATGGCAACCTGACAGCTGGCTTCCTTCAGAATAAATAATCCAAAAAAGACAGTCTCTGAAGTCATACATACACTGTTACTTCTGCTTTTTTTCTCATAGAAACAAGTCACTAAGTCAAGCCTACACTTCATGGGAGAACTGGCCTTCTTTCTTTGAAGGAAATGGTGAGTTTTGCGATGTATTTTAAACCACCACAAAACTATATATTATAAAGATACCTATTGTCTTTTAGTTGATCCATAGATTCAATGCACTCTCAATAAAACGCTTAACAGGGTATAGTCTAGAACTTGAAAAACTAATTTTTAAACTTATATAGAAGTGAACATGGCTAAGAATTGCCCATGCACTCTTGTTTGAAGAAGAATAAAATGGGAGAACTTGTGTTTCTAGAAATTCAGAATATTATAAAGCACTAACAATTAAGAATGTGAAATATGGCCTAGAGACAAAGAAGTTGACTTAAGATCAGAAACAGAGCCATGTGTATAGAAATCTGATTTCTAGAAGAGGTAGCATGGCAAATCAATAAGGAAAAGGTGTACTTTTCAATGAATGATTTGGTGACAATTCATTATTCATAAAAAATTATATGCAAGTTGCTTATCAATGGATTGCAGATTTAAATTAAAAAAACAGATTATAAAACTTCTAGAATGTAATATAGGATTTCTTTCTTTTTTTTTTTTTTTTTTTGAGACAGAGTCTCACTTAGTTGCCCTTGGTAGAATGTCATGGCATCATAGCTCACAGCAACCTCAAACTCTTGGACTGAAGTGATCCTCTTGCCTCAGTTCTTTCATTTTTAGTAGAGATAGAGTCTCACTCTTGCTCAGTTTGCCTCAGCGTCCCAGAGTGCTAGGATTACCGGTGTGAGCCACCACACCTGGCCTAGGATTTCTTAAATAAGATAAAAAGTAAAAATGATCAAGGGAAATATTAAAAATATGGCTTCTTTTAATTGAAGAACTTTTATTTATCAAAAGACATCACAGACTTCCATTTTAAGCCACAACAGCACAACTAGTATCAAGTTGCCCTCTCTCAACTTAAATAACTAGAAAACTGGGAAAAAACACATAAAACAAACATTTTTATCCATTGGACAGGAGATGTAATATTGTAATCCATAAAAAAGAGAAATGAGTAAGGTGAGTTCTATAATTGTCCTGGCTTTCTACCTGTAGACACTTTCTAGAATGCCACACAGTATGGAGGAACTCAGGTAGAAAATAATAGTCTCTATAAATTGAGAAACAGAGATCAGAATTCAGGGAGGTTGGGCAGCTGGAATTTTTAGAGTGGAGTACTAGAGAAGAGAAAGAGCTCCAGAAATTTTCATAGGTTCCTTGAGGCTTTGGCTAAATATTAAACTATATACACATAGGGTGAGATTCCTCAAGACTAAGAAAAGAATTGCTACCAAAGAATTGTGAGCTGAACAATTAGAGTTCACATGAGACTGACCAACCTGAGTAGAAAGACCTCATCAACACTTGAGCACTCAGTAGAGACCCTTCAAAGAGTCACTTCTTAGCAGTAAATAAAAACTAGTCCTAGGCTCGGCGCCTGTGGCTCAAGCGGCTAAGGCGCCAGCCACATACACCTAAGGTGGCGGGTTCGAAT